TTGTATGATTGTTACCAAGCAACAATAAGCAGTCGTGATTGGAGCGCGTCACGAAGCGCCTTTGTCTTATTTGTCAGCGCTCAGCTCAATGAGTTCAGGGCCAGTTCAACATCCCTAGACAATGATGTGAGGGAAAGGATTTGAGGATAAAAGTACAGGTGTGATTACATTGAAAACACATAAGGCTACTTACTATATACTGTATGAGCCAAACTAGACCAACATAGGGAAGGTTAACATATGTTTCCCATGCCAATAAGGCCCCTTATAGTATGATGACAACACTCAACGCTGGCACAAACTTTCCATCACTGCACACAAAACATGATATCGTTTTATTTTTGTTCAGAATCTTCAAGCGCCATTGGAGCTGTTTTAAGAATAGCTGCTAAAACTCCTGCTAGCAACTTGTATTATTCAGAGTAGTGCACTTGCCTTTTATATATATAGAGAAAACCTCATCACCCACTGTGAAGAAAGACCAGTGCTGTGTTCGAATACCCATACTAACATACTGTATACTACATGCTTATTGAGTATATACTACATACTATTAGTTCATTTGAGTATACTGTAAACCAGGGTTTCCCAAACTTGGTCCTGAGGCCCCCCCTGGGTGCATGTTTTGTTTTTTGCACTAGCACTACACAGCTGATTCAAATAACCAACTCATCATCAAGCTTAGGTTATTTGAATCAGCTGTGTAGTGCTAGGGCAAGAAACTAAATGTGCAGGACAGAGTTTGGGAAACCCTGCTGAAAACGAACGGTATCCTTTCAGTACTAGCGCTTCGCCTGTCTACCGGAAGATGAAGCTCTTGCTAGCTTGTTAGCATAACTATTTACTAGCTAGACATTTTACGATTTCAGCTGTGTTCGTAAATTCAATATGGAGGGCAAGAGAGCACTCAGAGTGCGCTCTGGGCGTTCGTAAATTCAGAGTGTTGTCAGATTGTCTGTTCGTAAATTCAGAGCGTTTCGCTAAATAAACGTTGTGTAGTTAGTTAGATAGCATATAGTTAATATACTGCCCGGCAGGTTCGATGTATTAGTAGCCAACTAAGAGTTCCAATGTCTATTTGCACATAATATTACATTTGAAATGTCTTTATTCTTTTGGATCTTTTGTAAGTGTAATGTTTACTGTTAATTTGTTATTGTTTATTTCACTTTTGTTTATTATCTATTTCACTTGCTTTGGCAATGTTAAAGATATGTTTCCCATGCCAATAAAGCCCCTTAAATTGAAATTGTATTGAATTGGGAGAGAGAGCGCGATAAAAGGCCTCAGAAAGTGGAGAACCGCACAATACCCTGTCCTAAGATCAAAGTCTCTCTACTTCCCACCAGTCGTGGTCAGACAGCCCCAGGCTACAGAGACCACTGAACTGTCATATTCTCCTCCAGACGAGGACACTGATCAACCAACAGTCTAGTTATACAGAGAGAGGTGTTGATTATCCACATCACTGTCAGTCATACACATGTGCAGAGAGAAATGCCAGGGTTTTTAAAAAATGTCCTTGATCCACCACAATGGGCTGAAGAAAGCTTATACAACGGTATAGACCAAGGATACTCAGAAGTGGCTGAATAGAAAATGTTGCTCACAACAGATGACCTTCCTTAGTTATTCCACTGCTGGCTGATGCACTGTAATGTCCAGGCCAGGCAGGTATGGGCTAAGGTCATGCAACATCAGCATTTGGGCTACAGAGTGTGTGTGTGTGTGTGTGTGTGTGTGTGTGTGTGTGCTCATTAATACTATTCAAATTATTAATTACATATAGCCTTACAGAGATCTCCACTTACGTATCCTTTTGTCTTTCTCTGTCAGAGTAACTGAACTGATCAGAGGTTTAATGAGGGGCAGAGACATCCATCCATAGTGTCATTCAACCCTTCTAGTCCCTGCTAGACTGGCTATAGACAGACAGACAGACAGACAGACAGAAATAAAATCAAACAGGTTAACTTTACTTTGTGAGTTCAGACAGACCCTGATGAAGGTTACTCTGACAAAGACTTCCCCTATGCTGGTAGCTCATTTAATTCATTACTGAACTTCAACAGAGACCTATTAAAACCCAGGTCGCCTCTTGATGAGGTCATCACCGTGATTGTGTGAGTTTAATAGTATAATGAGGAAGTATAAACCCTGTAGTTTGTTTTTTACATCCTCTGGTGCTGTGTTCATCATGTGTCTCAAATGACACCATATTCTCCTATATAGTGCATTGTTTATGTCCTTATTATGAACTTGCAGATGCAATGTGAGTAGCCATTGCAGGTGAGCTTTTAAATAGATCTGCCATAGAGTTAACTCTTCTCCAGATGGTGTCAGAGATGTCTGAGAGGCATACAGGACACATTAGCCTCTCTGCCCTTTAACGTTTAACCTCCATCATCAGACAGGTTGAGCGATAAGTGGAGAGAAAAATCATTTTCAAGTCCTTGATTTTCGGGAGACTCGACTGCCATTCCCATGCAGCTGCTCTTAC